CAGCAGGAACAAAGGCCGTCTCTGTCGTCTCCTCTTACCTCGTCTTTGCGTCCCAGGAATTCAGGCCTAAAGCAGCATTAGGTCCTGTTGAGCTTCCAGGTTATGTACGACGGAGATCCTAGGCTTAGACTCCGAGTTGAAGGTCTGGACAGGTGCTAGTCCTGGGTGCACGGCTGCTGGCTCCGTCGGTGTGGGTGCCCCGTGCTGCAGAGGTGAGCAAGCGAGGGCCTGGACTTCTGTTCTTGCCGCGACAGCACAGGGGACTGTGGGTCTCCCTCTTACAGCTGGGGTATTCTAGACCGAGGCCTGACTCCGATGTCGCCCCTTATTTAATTGTCCTTGAGGAATATGCTTTACCGCACCACCCCATCTGCTCCTGTTGGCCAAGGAGCTCACAGGAGTTTCTGCCGCTGAGTTTACGGTCCCCCCCCTCCAGGACATCTGTGATCCTCACAGGCTCCACGGAGGAGCACGTTGGCATTTTTCTGTCACCCTGGCCCGAGACAAAGCCGGGGAGCTTCAGAACCCTCACTTTTCCAATACTTAAAAAAAAAAAAAACACCAGGAAAAGGGCCAGCAGGTGATGTGGTGAAGGCGCTGGACTCCCACGTGCTGACGGTGGTTCGAGTCCCAGACTTGGTGACTTGCGTTGTTGCTTTCTGTCTCTTTCTGGTGAACACACACGCCCTATAGCAAATTAGAAGACAGTAATAATTAAAAAAAAAAAAAAAGAGCCAGGAAATCAGTGACGCAGTGACTGTGACGAATGGGGAGCCCCTGAAATGGAGAGAAGGCCCTGAATGATGTGCGCAGTTAAGACGGTAGCAGGGCGTTGCTGGGAGGCCACCTAGCGGAGCTGCGGCTCCCGGCAGTTTCGTGAGCGGTCCGACCCACCCTGGCAGGCTGCTGGCCAGCTTCTGTGTCTCTTCCCCTCGTGGGGACCTTTCCTGCCTGCTGAAGCTGCTCCTAAACACGACTGCCCCTTTAAGGTGGGGCGAGTGGGGGAACCTCAGGACCGAAGGACCAGGCTTGGAGGGTCAGGACTGGATCCCTGCTCAGAGGCCTCCCTCGGGGCAGCTCTCCCTGGGGGGCGGCTTGCCCACCCGGTATGCAGGGGCTGGGGCTGTCAGGATCCAGGAAATGGGTGACCTGCAGCCTCCAGGCCAGGGCACTGTGACACTCAGGGGCCTGGCCCTTCTCATGGTCGTGCTACATTTAAGGCTAAGGAGACCGGGCCCTCCGAGCGCCCGCTGCAGCTCAATCTCTGCCGATCCCAGGAGGCCCCAGTCCAATCTGTCAGGAAGACCCATGTCTGTGTGAGCGTTTCAGGAACCATGTTCCGGAATGAGTATTTTCCATGATTATTGTTAAATAACAAGGAAATTTACAGATATGTGGCCAACATTTTGTTAAGGTCCTAGATCCCACATGGCCAGTTACTGGTTCAAGTCCTGGACCCAGCAGAAAAACATAGGCGCATGTGCGTGCACGCCCAAGATCCCAAGAGGAGAATGGAGAAGGATTTGGCATGGCCATTCCCCCGGGGGTGATTTCTCACTTTCCCTCCCTATCTCTCCCTGTCTCTCTCAGGTGAGTGCACACACCCTTGTAGCAAAACTTAAAAAAGAAAGAAGGAAAGAAAGAAAGAAAGAAAGAAAGAAAGAAAGAAAGAAAGAAAAAGAAAGAACGAACGGACGGACTGGAGAGATTGAGCAGAGAGCCTTACCTGGAGCAGCTGTCCCAGACTTAGCGCCTCACGCTGATGCAGTTAACTACCTAAGAGGGGAGATGGACGCCGAGCACGGCAGACTCGTCGCCTTCTTTGATCTTGTTCTTGTCCGTGTGTCCAGGTGGTAGTATTTGCCCCGTAGCATTGAGCGCAGTGTAAAAGATCGTCAATTTAGACGGGACACAGTGACAGGCACCTGCGACCTGGCCACTCAGCAGGCTGGGGCAGGAGGAGGGGATGGCCACACCGCAGTCCCGCCCCCGTCTCCTCCCAGGGTTTTGGCAGGCATGCACATGTGCCCAGCCTGATTCTCAAGCCACCTGGTCCAGCATTTGAACCCCGAAGCTGGCCGTGTGGGGTCCAGCACCCTGCCCTCCACACCACCGGCTGGCCCTGCAGTTAGGATCTCATCTCATTAGAATTAATCTGAAGTTAAGTAGCTGCCTGTGGCTGGGGCACCCACGGCGGTGGGGCAGCCAGACGTACAGATGCACATTCGCTCTGTGCACCCCGAAGGAGCGCGGGGTGTTTAGGAAAGAGGGCTGAGTGCACCCCAGGTAGGACCCGCCACTGCTCGTCCAGACAGCGGCCTCGCAGTCTCCCTGCCCTCCACTTGCTGCCACTGCTGGCTTCTCAATGTGAAAGCTGTGTCCCCGAAATCCTCCCCGTGTCCCCGAAATCCTCCCCGTGTCCCCAAAATCCTCCCCGTGTCCCCGAAATCCTCCCCGTGTCCCCGAAATCCTCCCCGCGTCCCCGCAATCCTCCCCGTGTCCCCGAAATCCTCCCCGTGTCCCCGAAATCCTCCCCGTGTCCCCGAAATCCTCCCCGTGTCCCCGAAATCCTCCCCGTGTCCCCGAAATCCTCCCCGTGTCCCCGAAATCCTCCCCGTGTCCCTGGAAACCCTCCCTGTGTGGAAGCAGCCCCTGTTCGACTTTGGCTTTGCTGCCTTGAACACAAACTCCGCCTGGTGCGGCCCTGCCCTGCCGGTGCACTCACTGTTCCCAGCCTGCGGCTGCCGAGAGACCAGGACAGTGTGCGCCCTCAGCCCGCAGCCGCCGGGGGGTTTCTGAGCTGGTTCTGCAGTCATGCTCAAGGGGAAGCCAAGCGGGAAGGAGCTCGAGAAATGAACAGTGATAGACAGTATGGCTTTGGTGCACTTTGGTCCAGTCCTGGCGTTTCGTTAATCAGCTGGCCCAGGAGCCCCGGGCAGGGCTGGGTCGTTTCAAAAACCAGGGTCTACCCCAGGGCTGGAGTATGTGAGTAGGCCATGATGGTGGTGGTTGGTTTTTTGAAGAGAGATTTTTGCTATAGGGTGTGTGGGTGCGTGTGCTCACCAGAGAGACGGAGAGACAGGAAATGAGAAGGGCCCCCCCTGGGGGAGGGTGACGCCACAGTCCCTTCTCCAGTCTCCTCCGGGATTTTGGGCACGTTCACACAGGCACCTGGTGTGAGTTTATGCCTTCAGGTCTGGGACTCGGACCTTGGCTGACTACGTGGGAGTCCAGAGACGTGACCATTATGCCGCCTGCTGGTCCCAAGTGGTCATTACTTGTAGATGACCGGCCACACTGAGCATTTGCCGTCAGACATCTGAGGTGAAAGCTAGATGACCCGTAACGGGGCCTCCTCTCCTCTTTGCTACCCGAGGGTGACACCCTGTGCTGCCCCGAAACCTGTGGCAAAGGGCCGATTCCATGTGGCCATCTGCGGTTCAAATCCTGGCCCTAGTGGCTTGCGGGCTCACAGGTACGAGTGCCCCAAATCTCGGCAGGATGGAGGCAGGGGTTGTGGCCTGACCACACCATGGAGAATGCCTTCTCAGCTCCTCTCTCTGGTGAGCACAGGTGCAATTTTTTTTTGCTATAGGGCGCGTGCACTCGTCAGACAGAGAGAGACAAAGAGACAGAAAGCAAGAAATCACCCCCGGCATGAGTTTTAAGCCACCAGGTCCAGGACGCAAACCGTCGTTGACTACGTGGGAGTCCAGCGACATAGCCATTACGCTAACTGCTGGTCCCAGGTGCAATTTTTAAAAAAGGTTTTTGCCATAGGGCGCTTGCTTGTGCTGTCAGAGAGGCCATGAAAGAGAAAGTGAGAAACCACCCTAGGGGTGATAGCCACGCCACAGTCCCTTTTCCATTCTTCTCCTGCGGTTCTGGGCACACACACATGTGCCCGGTGTGGTTTTCAAGCCGCCCTCTCTGGGATGGGAACTGCTGTCTACCATGTGGGAGTCCTGTGCCTTAACCACGATGCAAGCTGCTGGCCCCAGTTCCTAGGCAATTTTTTTAAAAGAGGTTTTTGCCATAGGGTGCACAAATGCTGGAGAGAGTCAGTGAGAGGGAAAGTGAGAAATCACCCGCTGGGAGGATGGCCACGCCATAGTCCTTTCTCCTCCGTTCTCCTTCTGGGATCTTGGGCACGCACACACATGTGCCCAGCATGATCTTTAAGCCACCATGTCCAGGACTCAAACAGTGGTCGGCCATATGAGAGTCCAGCAATGTGACCACTGCGCCACCTGCCGGCCTCCTGGTTATGTTTTTGAGAGATTTTTGCTATAGGGCGTGCACGCACACTGGAGAGACAGAGACAGAAAGACGTGCCTGTTGTGAGAGTCAAGCCTCCGGGTCCAGGATGCAAACCATGGCTGGCCGTGGGAGTCCAGTGCCTTAACCACTGCGCCACTTGCTGGTCCCCTCTGGCAATTTTCTAAGAAAGGTAAAGCAGTCTGGACAGTCTTCAAACATCCTTCACCCTTTGTGCAAGCAGGCTTACTCTGTTGTTTTGAGGGTAGGCGATTTAGTGTGTCCTGGCTTCCCTGTGAAGGCCGGTTGTCGACAAGCTGAAGGGTCAGGTGGAAACGTGGCCTCTCCTTGCTGAAGGCAGAAGTCCCTCCGGTTGGGTGTTGAACGTGGTTGCCTGTAGAGAGGAGCTTCCCCTGGAGTCTGACTGTCCAGTAGGCGGCACAGCTGGGCTCGCAGTGCAGAGGGCGGTGGGTGGCGGCGCCTGGGCCTGGTCTCAAGGTGTGCTCTCCCACAGACCTTCACCGCCTGGTGTAACTCACACCTGAGGAAGGCCGGCACGCAGATCGAGAACATCGAGGAGGACTTCCGGAATGGCCTCAAGCTCATGCTGCTTCTGGAGGTCATCTCAGGTGGGCGTCCGTGTGGTCACTGATGTGGGCGACCGGGAGGTCATCTGGGGGTGGCGTCCGCGTGGTCACTGATGTGGGTGACCGGGAGGTCATCTGGGGGCACGTTTGCATGGGGTCTGACATGGGTGATGGGAGGTTGGGGGGGACATTTGCATGGGGACTGACATGGGTGACCCAGAGATCATCTCAGATCGCGTCCACGCGGGGACTGAGTGGGTGGCCCGGCCGCTGCCCTGCCTACTCAGCTGAGTGGGTGGCCTGGCAGCTGCACAAGGCCCTGAGCCCTGTGCTCACCACAGCCTGCCAGAGTCGGCCCGGTGGGCTCCCGTTTGTTACGGATCCAGCCGTGGGTCTGGGCCTCGGCCTAGAGGGTGGGTCACCCCAGGAGAGGTGTGACTGGGAAGGGGATGGAGCGGCTCTGGCCCATCCGTCTTCCTAATCAGGTGTCTGTGACACCCCGGCAGCCACTCTGTGGTGTGAACAAGGCCGCCCGAGTCCCTCCACACTAGCCAGCAGCCCAGCCTCCAGGGACTCGCGGCTGCCTCTCATGTGTCCCTTGGCTCAGAGGCCTTTGGACTCTTTCAGATGTGAAAAGCACAGGCCTCACAGCACGGCCCTGGGGCCCATCCCTCCTGAAGGTGTCCTGGTCAGTGTCCCCTCCTGTGGACTGTGACTCAGGGCAACAGCCAAGGAACTGTTTCTGTTGGAGAGCCGGACTCTGAGTTTGGGCACCTCAGGTTGTCATCCCGGGTCGCTCTGTCTTGTCCTCACTGTCCTCTTCGTATCTGATAGGGGAACGGCTGCCCAAGCCTGATAGGGGCAAAATGCGGTTCCATAAGATCGCCAACGTCAACAAGGCTCTGGATTACATAGCCAGCAAGGGCGTGAAGCTGGTGTCCATCGGGGCCGAAGGTGAGTGGTGTGGGCGGCCCTGACCGCCGCTCTGCGCTCCACCCGCCTGCCGTCTGCGCTGTGCGTCTTGTGTCAGCCCTGTAGTGGCCGTGGGCGCACGGGGCTGGGACCAGATGGTGCCACCCTGGAAGCCAGGCCCGCGGTTACTTGTGCAGGATTAAGTGGGTGCAGCGCTATCCTCCCACGTGGGCTGTAGAAACCAGACAGCTTACTGCCCAGTGACTGAAGGAGCACAGGCTCCTGGGAGGAGATGGCCTTCCTGTTCCCTGTGGGCGGTCAGGAGCCTGGTGTCCCCTGCCAGTGGCGGCGGCTGGAAGCGCAGGGAACTCGAGGCCGCGTTCTCGTGCTCGATTACTTGAACGGAGCTAGTGTAGCCTGGAAACTGGGCAGCCCGCGGTTCTCAGATAATGCATATGGAATCGTGTGTATGATTAACTCTGAATTCATTTACGCTGAGACATACAGTTATGCATGCCATAATTATAACCAGACACGGCGTGCTCGTCAGAACAGCAGCTGGTCTCCTTGTGACTTCACTCCGAAGTCGGCACTTGTACACAGAAAGAGTCTACATTGTGGCTACCCCTCACCCCCGTGTACACCCGAGGTCCTGGCGTGGCCGTGCTCCGTCCGTGTACACCCGAGGTCCTGGTGTGGCCGTGCTCCGTCCGTGTACACCCGAGGTCCTGGCATGGCCATGCTCCGTCCATGTACACCCGAGGTCCTGGCGTGGCCGTGCTCCCTCTGTGTACACCTGAGGTCCCGTGGTGGTCCTGCTCCTTCCGTACTTACCCGTGGTCCTGCTGTGGCCATGCTCCACATGGACCCTCACTGCTTTGTGCTCACAGAGATCGTGGACGGCAACGTGAAGATGACCCTGGGCATGATCTGGACCATCATCCTCCGCTTCGCCATCCAGGACATTTCTGTTGAAGGTGAGAGTCTAGTCGTGTGACCGGAGTCCAGCTGGTAGACCACCGTAAACGGGGAGGGGCAGCCGAGGCTGCCCCGTGACGGAGGGAGGGCAGCGGTTGGTTGTCCCAGATGTGGCGTTCGCCTGGGCCAGGCCCTGGCGACGCTGTCCCTGGGGCTCGTGGTCCTCTAGAGGGGCAGGTGTGCAGGACGGGAGTCGCCACTCACTGTCCTGCTTTGTACGGAGCTCTTCATTATTTCATTTAGTTTATTATCATCCCTAACTCACTACAGAGCACATGCACTCACCAGAGAGACAGTGAGAAAGTAAGCCCCAGAGACATGGGCCCAGTCACCCAGCACCCTAACCAGTATGCTACCTGCTGCCCTGGAAGTTGCTTTTCTTTCTTTCTTTTCTTTTTTTTTTTCAGAGAGACTTTTGCTATAGGGCTTGTGTGCAGAAAGCAAGAAATCACCCCTTGGGGGACTGGCCACGCTACAATCTGTTCTCCTCCATTCTCCTCTTGGGGTTTGGACACACACACACACTCGCCTGGCATGAGTTTTAAGCTGCCAGGTCTAAGACTCGAACCATGGTCAACTACATGGGAGTCCAGGGATGTAGCCGTTATGCATGTGCTGGTGTTCAGACGTCGCTATAAATGAGCATTTATTACACTTCTCCAGTGCTGAGTGCACTCTTTCACAAGTGGGTCCCCAGCGGCAGAGTGCTCCGGGCGTATGCGGGCTCCTCTCCCAGGACAGACACCCCTAGCCCAAGCTCGGCCACTGTCTCTCCCCCTTGCCTGCCTCTCCTTTCTCCATTGCTTCCCTTTTTCTTTCCTTCTTTTCTTTTCTTTTCTTTTTTCTTTTTTTTTTTTCAGAGGTCTTTGCTATAAGGCATGTGCGCTCGCCAGAAAGACAGAGAGAGACAGAGACACAGAAAGCAAGAAATCACCCTCCAGGGGGGATGGCCACGCCGCAATCCCTTCTCCTCCATTCTCCTCGCGGGATCGTGGGCACGCATGCACACGTGCCTGGCGTGAGTTTAAGCCACCAGGTCCGGGACTCTAACCATGGTTGACTACATGGGAGTCCAGCGACATAGCCATTACGCTAACTGCTGTTCCTCCCTTTTTCTTTCTTCTTTCCTTTAAGCAAAATCCTATTTTCACTTTTTTTTTTTTTTTTTTTTTTTTTTTTTTGCCTAGAGGCTGTTTCTCACTGTAATAGAATGAAAACCCTTGACCCTGCCTCTGAAGAGAAATCTTCACTATTTTTTATGCCCACTGAACTCCCAAATATTTGAATAAATTCAGCACTCTTGAAAATGTCAAAGCAACACTGTTCTCAGACTCAGAGGGGCCTGTCTAGCCCTCAGGTCACAGAAGCACACCTGCAGATTGTGCCTGCGGGCAGCTGCTCTCCCAGGTGCCAGCCTGCTCTGGCCTCATGGCTCTGTCACCGCCAGGTAACGGTCATGTGAGTGCCGAGGGGCTGGCACTCTGTCCTGGCAGGCTAGGGCACTCTGACTCGGGTCTTTGGAGTGGTCTGGCTCCCTGTCAGGAAGCAGCAGTTGGCCTGCCATCACCCTGGGTACGTGAGGCCTGTGGCTCCTGCTCTCTAGGGCGTCTGATTCCCTTAGAACACCGTCCCAGCTCTGAGGACCCATTTATGTCATGTAGACCTCAAACCAGTGCAGTGACATTAACACCTCCGTAATTCGGGCTCAGGAGTGACAGCCAGCTAGAATTAGTCAGTAGTCTGAATTTGAAAACTTTTGTACTAAGTAGTTCTATTAAAGTACGTTTTCTTATACTGGGGATGTTTCCTGAGAGTTCCTGCTCTATTAAAAGTAGTCATTTATAATGCTTTTAGTAATTTCCATATACTTCTACACTTCATCAGTTGACCCACTTTAAAGAACAAATACAGTTTTTAAAACTTTGTTCATATGGGGCCTGCAGGCAATGTGGGTAAGGCACCGACTCCCGCGTGGCTGACTGTGGTTCACATTCTGGACTTGGCAGCTTGCTTTCTCACTTTCTCTCTCTTTGTCTCTCTCTCTGGTGAGGACACATGCCTTATAGCAAAGTATTGGGTTGTCAGAAAAGTCATGAAGCATTTTTGTATAGAAAAAAATAATAAAACAAATATATATATATATATAAACAAATGACAGCTTGTTCTCTTTCTTTTTTTAAGAGGGAGACTTTTGCTATAGGGTACATGTGCTCACCGGGGAGGCAGACAGAGACAGACAGAAAGCGAGAAATCATCTCCCAGGATGGATGGCCACGCCGCATTCCCTTCTCCTCCGTCCTCCTCTTGGGAATTTGGGTACCCATGCATACATGCATGGTGTGAGTTTTAGAGCGCTGTCTGGAGCTTGAACTGTGGCCTACTATGTGGGGCTCCAGCAACACACCATTATGCCATCTGCTGGTCCACGGATACAGTTAAAACCTTGTTCTTATGGGACCGGCAGGTGTGGTGGTTAAAGCACTAGATTCCCACGTGATCGACCGTAGGTTGAGCCCCGGACCCGGTGGCTTGAGAAATCACACCGGGTGCGCGCGTGCGTGTGTGCGTGTGTATGTGTATGTGTGTGTGTGTCTGAGATCTTGCGAGGAGAGTGGAGGAGAAGGGGTTGTGGTGTGGTCAGTCCCCCAGGGTGATTTCTCACTTTCTCTGTCTCTCTCCAATGAGCACATTTGCCCTATGGCAAAAATCTAAAACAGAACAAAAATACTTTGTTCATCCTCTTGCATTAGCTGAACTAGGAAGTTGCTTTTCTACAAATTTACAGAGATGAACGTGACCTCAGGTTTTTGTTGTTTTGTTTTGTTATGAATTTTAAATTAGTGGTGACATGAATTTCAAAAGTAATTCTGTTTCAAGTGTAGCTATGAATGGAATGTCCATTAGGGTTTCCCCCAGGTTATTAATGTGTCCAAAATAAGCCATCAAACGACAGCACTTAGCAAGGCTCCCAGTCGAGGGACGTAGGGATTGCGTCCTCACGAGGCCAGGGCCGTGAGCATGACAGCAGGGACACGTGGTGGCCCTCAGTCTCCTTGGGCAGGCCCAGTGCAGTAAGTTTGCTAACTTAGGTTTTTGCTTTAGTTCTGTGGAGTAGCGTAACACCCTTAGTTAGTTCCTCCAAGCCTGCAGAACGATGTGTATGTAAAAGAAGATGACGCTATGAGAACAAGACCCTGAGGAGCCCTTCGAGAGATGACGGGCCCTTCCCCGGAGGAACATGTAAGGCTGTACAAAGCGGTTGAGGCCAGCCTGGTGTTGCCCCGGGCTCCTGGCGTGTCACCAAGCCCCACATGGGCAGCGGCCACGGCCGGGTCAGAGCAGAGCTCTGGTCACAGGTGCAGCCTCAGTCACCTGCTGAAAGCCAGGCAGAGGAGGGTCTGCTCTGATCAGAGGAGCCACCAGGTGAGGACGGAACCTCAGTCCACATGCAGAGCCTTGGTGGACGGCTGTGACACTCGGGGCCACCGATCCAGTTCTGTAGCTGTCTTAAGACTCTCTTCCTCCCTTTTAAAAAAGAATTAATTAATTAATTAATGTGTTTATTTATTTTGAATTTGATCAGAGAGAGAGAAAGAGGAAAAGTGAGAAGGCAAGCCATCAGGTACATGCACAAAGGCCCAGCCCGAGTTTCAAGCTGTTGGGTCCGGGATTCAAACCACCGTCGGCCATGTGGGAGTCCAGGAGCGTAACCACTACACCGCCTGCTGGCCCCTCAGTCTTCGTACCAAGTTAGCTGCCTTAGGGATGCGAGCAGGTGTGGTTCAAGGTACTCTTGTAGCAGATGCAGCTTTGGGGGTGCGTATTGCATTCATGGCATGGGCCAAAGAAGGGGGTGACTACAGTGGCAGCTTAGGGAATGATTACAGAATTCTCACTTCAGTTGGTAAAACCTGCTCTGAACCCTTCCCAGGGCAGAGGCCGGGCCTGTGCCAGTGCGGGTCCACGGGCTGTGGGCACCCCCTGCGATGTCACCGTCAGGCATAGGCAGACCCCAGGTCACGGAGCGGCTGGGAGAAGCAGTTTGGCTGTACGTCCAGGTCCCTGGAGAAGCAACTGCCCAGCCATGTCAGGAGGGACCTGATCGGCTGGGCCTGCCGTGACTTACGAACAGCAGCCTTGCCTCCCCTCATAGTTCTGGAGGTCCTGGCCTAGGGCCGGCGCTGGCCTGGCTGGTGCTGGTGAGGGCTGTCAGGGTCCTTCTGGCTTGTGCACAGCCGTTGTCTTGCTGTGTCACCTGGGGGGGTGGTGGTGGATGGAGGAGCGAGTCCCTCTGGTGTCTCTTACAAGGGCACTAATCCAGCAGGTGGCGTAATGAGTACGTCACTGGACTCCCAGTAGTAGACTGTGGTTTGAGTCCTGGATCCGGTGGCTTAAAACTCATGCTAGGTGCATGTGCGTGCGTGCCCAAAGTCCTGAGAGGAGAATGGAGAAGGGATTGCGGTGTGGCCATCCCCCCAGGGGGTGATTTCTTGCTTTCTGTCTCTCTCTCTCTCTGGTGAGTGCACGTGTCCTGTAGCAGAAATCTCTAAAAATAAAACGTAAAACAAACAAGGGCACGGATCCCATCTGGCACTGCAGTCCACCATGTGGAAGTCTCTCTGTGGCCCCGACTGACCAAACTTAAGATTGTGTGAAGTCATCGGGCCGGGACACACCGGAGCCGGCCTCTGGGTGCTACGCGAGCCCAGGAGCAGGAAGTGCCGTGAGGTGGTGACCACCTCTGCACTGTGTCCTGCCGGCCGCATCCATCTGCGTGGCCGTGCACTGTCCGAGGCGGGGGGCGCTGGCGCCCAGGGCGGTGGAGGCGGG